CTGGAGCGGGAGCTGGCGCTTCCCAGCGGAGCGCGACCGGCCCGCACCGGCCTCTCCGGGAGCGAGCGCTGCGATCCCCGGTGCCCAGCGCAGTCTCCCGCAAGGTTCCGTGCTGGGATCGCCGCGCGTTCGTACCGCAGCGCCCGGCTCTGACCGCTCGCTTCGCGCTCGCCGGCCGTCTGTGCCCTGACTGCTATGCCCGCACCAGCAGCGCACTGCTTTGAGATTTAATTCCTTGACATAGAAATGCATTAGGAATCTTATTTTGCATCTCCAGAATTAGCAGACGTGAAGTAACTCCGTGCAGGTGTTGTGTCGGGATTTCGGTCAGCCTGCGGTTTACTTCAGCACCTGCATCAAGGCTCTGCCCTGTCCCTTCGTGTCCCAGTCCCATTCCTGCCCTTTTTCCTGTCACTGCATCATTCACGTAGGCGCTGAAATCTCTATGATGAGCCTTAAATAAGGTTTTCTGGGTGTTGGAACTCTGGGGACATAGGCCAGAACACGCTTATATTCACGTGACGGGGCGTGTGGTCGGCTCCGCTGGGAACAGCTTGTAAGGTGTGAGTTGCACATACACGTAACTGCTCTCAGCATTGTACCTTTGATTAATCAGTAAGCGGCTGGCAAAGGAGAGGGCATGTCCTTTGGTCCGTTTGTCCTCACGTTCTCCTGAGCTACTTCCACTTGCTGTACAGAGCAAGAGACCCTGTGCATAAATGCCCATGTTTTGAGAACATGACTGCTGTCTGCTCTTGGTCACTCCAGCCTAGGTGTCCAAGCCCATTGCTGCATCCCCTGCCTGGATTTATATGAGCTGGGTGTAAATCATGCTACCTAATTGCATATTATTTATTCATGTGCGTACTTAAAGTACCGATACCTTCTTATTTTCAGCACCTTTGTGGTAACTGTCAATTAAAAATCAGATCACATTTTTCTACAGATGATGAAAAAGTGAGATTTTCTTGACCCCTATCCGCCCCCCAATATTTTTAACACTTTCACCTTTATTCCTTATTTATGCAGTATCTATTCAAAATCAATAGAAGCAGGCCTACATAAATGCAGTGGATGGATCTACTTCAACTCCAAGGGAGATCTATATTCAGATCACTTCTGAGTAGGTAATCTGGTATTCTATACAAGCAAGACTGCAATAAACCAGTACAGCTTATTCCAGCCTTTTCTTCTCCCACAAAAGCAAAATAAGCTATACCAGCAAAAGCTCAGTGCTGCTTGTGATTACATCTACACCTGGGGCTTTCATGAGCCCGGGAATGATAATCGCAAATCGTGCTTCATTGCATCCCTAACCAACGGCAGTGCTGGGAAGAGCTTGCAGGATCGTGCAGATCATTGCCACAGATAGGGAGCTCAGAGCGCAGTCATTAGCAGAATCCTGATGTCCTCAGATCTTTTTAAATGCAAAATTTTCATGATGACTGGTTGATAGTGGACTGAGTATCTGCTGAGGGTTTTAGGACTAAACGCACTGTAAATGTTTACTCTGAATACTACTGATCAGGATTAATAGATTTACCAGCTGAACAAAATGAGATTTGTGGACCTTCAGGAGAAGGGTGTTCCAGATTATTATAATTCCTCCTAGAGGAATTGGGAATCTCAGCCATTACTTTGCTACTATCTGCTCTTTTCACTGTATGATGAGAGAAAAGCTAAAATGCTGGAGAAGACAGTATATCCTGTATCTGTGGTTCTCCCTCAAAGATTTGTTTATGTGGGAAAACTGTACCAAAGAGAGCTCAATATGAATTTATGTCGTAATCATATCTGTGGAATGGATCTCAGTCTGTCAGCACCTTTCTGGGATTAAACCCCAATCCATGCTAGGGGCAGATCTAAACTGTCCACAGCCATTATTGGATGTTCCTGGTAGAATACTACAGCAGTTCGTGAACAGGTAGCTGTTTGCTAGTGCCCCTCCTTAGAAATGAGAACAACTTCAACAGTGCATTTTGAAATAAAGAGGCTGTCATAGGTGTCCTGATGCAGTTTGAGGGCGTAAGTGACAGGGTTGGCTGCCAGGTCAGCCCCAAAGAACCCAAGGCCTCATCAGTTGTATCTGGTCATTTGACCAAGTCCTGAGTAAGCTATAGCTTACTCACTGTATTCTCTTTTAAATTAAGAGGATCACAGCCTGGTTATCATATTTGGTCTTCTACCGCTGGAGATGAGCTCTGCAGCTCTGCTTTTACTTTAGCAGTTTACCACAGTAATTGCAATTAAAAAAATCTTCAAAACCCCAAAGCATAGAACACAGAGGATAGGGGGAGGTTCTTCCTAAAGTAAAAGCATAAAAGGAGTTGCAAAACTGTTGAGAAAAATTTTCTGACCTCTGACAGTGTTTTTCTGAGCAGAAATTTAATAATGACCATTGATGCTATTCTTCTTTTTGATTTTCCAGATGTATTTCTGTGTATGGTCTGCTTCTCTACTGGGATTGCCAAAATTCTCATGGCAACCTGTCATCTAAGTAATTCTATTAGTGAGACATTACGGTTGAGAACAGTGGCTTTTTATGATTATTGTTCACTTGCACTCTCACTTTATCTGTTCAAATGTTTAAAAAAGTCTTTAAGATACTTTTAGTAATACTTGTCTTTCAGATATTCCTAGCAGAGGACAAAATCTGAGTTGCATAAACAAGTACTAATTATATTAATTATGTGTCCATCTGAAAAAAGGACATAATTTTATTGTGTTTCCTGTGGATACATTTTAATTTCAGAATATAAAGGTTAACTTATATATTTTACCTTTTGTACTGATCCTGGCAACATGGACAACTGGATGTGATTTCTGAGCTTTAAACCTATTAAAGACAAAGAAAACCCTTAAATCCTTTGAAGTCTGCAATCCAGTAATCTCAGTCCTTTGACTACATGTCTGTGTTCAGGATCATGCACGTGTTCTAATCTGTTATGGAGACCCTGTAACCACGTCAATGTGAAAATTATAAATATTACTTCATTTATGCAGGTGTTTATATTTCAAACCCTTTTGTTGGAGCTGCATGATCTGTGATCTCAGACTTTGGCATGTGTAGAAATGAATCAGGTTGATAAATTCATGATAGAGACTGTGTAGTGTTGCATCACAGTGTTAAAGTATTTATAGTGTTGTTTACAAAACAGTAAGACAGCTTTGAACTGGGTGAACCCAGTGACTAGGAGTTCCTTTCCAGTCCTTTCTCCAGGCGTTTCTCACATCCTTTATTTTCAACAGAAACTTCTGTCATATTTGTTAAATATGCAGAGCTTCTCTTCATAACACTAGTGTCAATGAAGGATGTTTGTGCAAAGTAAATTAATTTCCTGTGCACACTTCAAATGCAGAATGGGGAGAGGCCAGCACACCATCCAAATAAGACAAGTTTAGATTCCCCAATAATTGTTTTGTAATCTGCATTTATAATATATTTCCAAGAACAAAAGACATTCCTTTAAAAACAACTGAGGTTGCTAAGTGACACAAATGTATTTACTGTGTCATAACTTGCAAAAGCCAAGCACATTAAAACAAGAGCTTTAATAAGCAACAGTGTCATGAATCTCACCTTGACTCCCAGGGTAAATATAAACCTGTTGGCCAACAGCTTTACATGGTTTGAGATGCCCAGTCTGAGACCTTAATGGAAACAGGAAACATTAGTTGTTCTAGAAAATACAGACTTTGACTCTTAAGGAATTGAAATATGCATACTTTGTCCCAATGGATGTTTGGGATTTGTTTCTTTCATGTATTGTTTCTGTTTATCCTCATTCAATTACCTAAGAATTTGCATGTAGGGCAACTGCTTCCTAACAAGGCTGGAAACTACTCTGTCAGTTGTGAGGCTGAGTTACTTCGTTTTGCTGAAGTTTTCACTGTTTCTTTTAACTTTTAGACACAAAAACTCCTCTCCAATCTTTTGGGGAAGGCAAAAAGCTGGCACCTTCTTCTGTCTTCTCACCTCCTTCTAGTATCTGACACACCGATCTGCTGTATTTCAGCTTGCCCAAGCAACCAGAACACAGGGCCCCTTTGGAGGCACCACAGTAACATTCCTTTGGCCTAGTAAGCTGATCCTTCTCTTTCCCCAAGCTGCAAAACCTCTTCTTCCTCCTCTGATACACACAGGATGCAGTTGATGCCCTGTCCCTGCAGCAAACGTACAGAAGTGGACAGTGTGCAGGAATTGCTTCTGAGGAGTGCATTGAGCTACCTGTTCATTAGGAGCTGCCAGGTTGCCTTGCACAACAGCCTCTGCTAGTTTAGGAGTGAGACAGGAGGCGTGGGAAAGGAGCCTACAGACGTCTCAGGGATGCACTAAACTGTGGGGCAACCAAGTGTTTGTTTATTCAAATCATTGACTCACTTCCAGCTTTCCTAATAACTGGAATACATTTTAATAGTAACCTATATTATAAGTAATGAGCCATTGTGTGGGCTCTCATAGGTTTTCCATATAGGCAGTTCCTGAGAATAATTTCCATTTGTTAAATCTTTTCAAATATTGAAATATAGGAAGCTGAGATGAAAAGAATATATTGAACGACTCCTAAAATGTCATTAAATGGACTTTAGGAACATCCCTTAAAAAATACCAGATTGAAGAGAAAAGCCCTTTCACCTTTTGTCAAAATACCCTGCACATTTCTGGATGTCCTGACAAAATCCCTGTGCTTGTTTCTATACCTTCAATTGGTAATTGTTTGTTAACCAGACATGTCTCTTGAGAGTTCTGTTAAAACAAGCCTATCTACAGTGAATACTGAAAAGCCACGATCAATAAACTAGTATATAATGATTACAAGTAATGCGTCTCACTCAGCACGTAGGGGAAAAAAGAGAAAAAAAAGCCTCCTGTCTAATTATATTTGAAGTAGACTTGTCTAAAATTAAGGGAGCACTTGTCCCACAAGGACTACAGCCAATTCCACTGAATCAATGGAACCTGGGCAGGGCTGCCAACTTTCCACATTGAAATACCTCCTTCAAGCATACTTTTGACATTAAGCCATTAGAAAAAGATGACTGTTACTTAAAAAGAAAAATGAAGACCAGAAGCCACCTGAGATCTGATAGCTCCTTCTTGTTTTGAGTCTGAACTGTGCTGTTAGTGCAACTTAGGCCCTGAATTTGCTCCTCGCAGAAGCATGATCAGCTTACAGGTAAGAAACCTCTTGGGGCAGCTACAGTCATTACAGATGTGGTCACATTTCCTTCTTTTGCTCTCTGACCACAGCTCACTTTTTTTTGTTGCTGTATTATCTCATTGTGAATTCCTCGGTTTTCTTTCTTAATCTAATCCTGCAGGCTACTATGATGTTCACTTGTGGTAGGTACTCAGTATGATATTTAATCTTGGCCCTTTTTCCCTGTGAGAGATTAGTAAAAGATTTAAAACCCAACAATCTTCATATCCATTTTTCTTAAGACTTGTTAGCCCTTTAGAGCAAGACAGATAGATCTAGCTTCTTGAAACACCTTTTCTTCTTCTCTTTAAAAATAATAGTTCATGACTGATTCCACTGCACGTGCTCCTTTCTGTTTTACCTCAAGTAGTCCTTTTGATCAGCTTCTGGTCCTTTTCTTCTTCTTTTTTTTTTTTTTTTTTCTCTCTCTAGTAACTTCTAAATATCCAAACATATCATATTTCATAGAATAATGTAATGGTTTGGGTTGGAATGGACGTTAAAGATCATGTAGTGCCAACCCCTCTACTGTGGGCAGGAGCACCTTCCACTAGACCTGGTTGCTCAGAGTTCCATGCAATCTGGCCTTGAATGCTTTCAGGGATGGGACATCCACAATTTCTCTGGGCAACCTGTGCCAGTGCCTCACTACACTCACAGTAAAGAATTTCTTCCAAGTATCCAATCTAAACCTACATTCTTTCAGTTTAAAGGCATTCCCCCTTGTCCTGTCACTGCACACACTGGTCAAAAGTCCCTCTCCAGCCTTCTTTTAGGTCCCCTTGAGGTACTGGAAGGCAACTCTCCCAGCCTGTCCTCACAGGAGAGGTACTTCAGCCCTCCAGTCATGTTTATGACCCGACTCTGGACTTGCTTCAACAGGTCTACATCTTTCTTGTTTTGGGGGCACCTAGAGCTGTACTCTAGGCAGGATTTCACAAGAGTTGAGTAAAGGGGCAGAATCGCCTTCCTCAGCCTGCTGGTCAGAGTGTGAAGAAGTGGCTTATTTTGAGGGGTTTGGGGGTTTTTGTTCTTCTATCTGCATATTATATCTTCCAACCATCTGTTAGGTTAGCCTGATTTTCTCTTTTTAAAATCAAGCCTACATATGTAGATAGTGAATTTCCCAATAGCAAAGTCAACAAACAACACACATTTATTATTACACTGTAATAATTCCCATCACATTAACAACTGTGTTTTCCTGTATATTTTGTTTAGGGCTAAATTCACCTTCAATGGATAATGAAAACTAGCCCTTTATGTTGCAAACCTTTCAGCATATGTTTGTCATAATAGATTTCACGATATCCTTGGGTGCTGTTATACATGCATAATTTAGAGTAAGTATCACAGGTCATGTCACTTCACCTCCTCCTGGTGTAGGGTTCTCAAGACTTTTGTATAAAAAAAGTGTTTGGCTCACAATAAGAGACATGGAGAATGTTCCTGCATCATTAGTTTTCCTCTCTTCAAAGTCCTGCTGAACCACCACAGTTCACAGCCAGAAGCATACACATAAACTGACCATGCTTTTAAACTTAGAGTCATAGGATACAGGTTGGAAAGAACTGACCTCAAGGAACATTTCATCCAACCTTTCTTGGTAAAATGACAATCTAGGCAAGATGGCCCAGCCAAATCTCAGGAGTGTACAGTATTGGAGAATCCACCATTTCCCTGGGGAGATTATTCCAATGGCTGATTGTTCTCATTGTGAAAAGTTTTCCTTGTGTAAGTAGTTGTAACTTCCTCAGGAGTTACTTTTACCCAATACCCCCTGTCTTTTTTGTGTGACTCCTTGTAAAAAGAGGGTATCCATCTTGTCTGGAGCCACCCATCAAATAGTGGAACATGGTGAGGAGGCCTCCCCTAAGCCTTCTTTTCTCAAGGCTGAACAAACCCAGTTCTCTCAGCCTTTGCCCTTCTCAGGCTTCCCAGTCATTTGAACATCTTTGTGGCTCTTCTGTGGACCTTCTCCAGCCTCTTCACGAGTTTTTTGCGCAGCAGGGACCAAAACTGAGCACAGAATTCCAGTGTGGGCTGATAAGCACTGAGCAGAGTGGGATAATGACTTCTTGATCTCTACTGGTGATGCCCTTGTGGATGCATCAGCATAGATTTTTTATCCCCATAGCAGGGGGCCCACCACTGCTGGTGCAGACAGAGTTGAAGGAAGTGTTGAGAACCTTTGCCTTTTCAGCATTGTCAGTGACAAATTCACCTCTCTTATCAGTGGGACGGTAGTTTCTTTCTCTTTCTGCTTGTTGTTGATGTATCTGAAGAAGCGTTTCTTTTAGTTTTGAGCAGACTCAGAAGCACACAGTTAACCTGAATTTTAATTTTCCTTTACAGCAAGACTTGGATTTGCAGCAGTTTTGTAGCTGCAGAGGAGCAGACTGAGTTGCCCCTGCAGCAGGAAAACTGAGCAGTGTGGAAGTAAGAAGGAGAAGCCATCTCAGTGAGAGCTTTGCCTTCATCCTTGGGGTTGGAGAGCTGTGCTCAGATTGAGTGGAGACCTCTGGAATGAAGATTTACAGGTAAATCCTTACAGAACCCACTGCTTTTTTGCATGGTATGAATTGTTCTTTTTGGACTCCCACTGTTTTAGATAAATGGGCTCTTCTACCTTTGAAAACATTCAACACTTTGGAATAATTCCACCCCCTTTCTTCTGCATATCATCTCTTAAACTAAGAGCAGCAATCCAAAATTCCTGCCAATTATGAAGAAAGTTTTTCTACACTTTAGAGCCAAATGGCAATAACTTTCCTGCCTCACTCTGTGTTTCCTCTTCCCTACACTGCCCGCTACAAGACAACTATGATTGCCACTGGACATTTTGATTCCTGCGTTACATCCTTTTTGCTGAGAGATGTGACTGTATTTCAAAGGAATGAGTCATGGGGATTCGAGTGAGGATTTTTGTCAGGAAAATTACAATTAGCCCTCCCCAATAACTCCCTGATTGCTGGCTGCATTTTGGGGGGATTTAGAAGCGTTCTATGTGCTCTTGCAGTAGCTGCCTCAAGTCTCTTGCTGGTTTAAGAAGGGACATTTGGAGCCTCTGCCCCTGCAGCATGTCATTATACCTTCACTTGTGTCTCCTGCAGTTGTCACAGCTTCACAATGTCACCTGCTTTGTAAAAATGTTGTTTTAAGTTTTATGACTGTGAATGCCAACTGCCATGCCCGTGTTGCAGCCCCCATCGTTGTGCTGGAGAGGTGTGTTGTGCCACACTAGGAGCCACTGAGCTGTTCTTTGGAAATGTATCTTTTCAGGACTCTCAAAAATACTGCATCAGCAGAAATGAGCAGTGCAGGGGCAGAGGAGGGCAGGACTGAGGAATGATGCTGAAATGGGAACACTGAAAGTCGGTTCTACCCTTAAGAACACTTCACACCATAAAACCATGCCCCAGGATTGCTGCCAGCCTTAAAGGTTCTTAGCAGTACCACAAGCTGGTGGTGCTCCTCATTCTGTTGCAGGCATGAGCAGGAGGCCTCTGGCAATAAGGAAGGAGGAATGGAAAGGCATTGGAAGAATAATATCATTCAAGTGATGGAAAAATGTCCTCATAGTACAGAGTAGCCAACAAGACACACACTATAGTATCAGCCTTTATCCTCCTGTTAAACTGGCTACCTCAAATCAAAAGCAACTGCAGGCTTGGGTTTCATATTTTTTGTGTAGAAAAGATTCCAGTTATACTTGGAATAACTTACAACTCAGGTTAACTTTTCAGTGAAATTGAGTTCAAAGAGCTTATAAACAGAATTCTTGATTGCAAAATTGATTTTAAACAGTATAAAGTAGTTCTATTGGCACTATGCTATTTTAGCAAGGACAACAGGACCCCTAAGGCCAACATTTCTAAGGCAATTTGTCCAAGAAAGAAACCTCTTTTAATGAACCACTTTATAAAGAACTTAATATTGTTAGCTTTCACTGTAACTTTAACTTTCCTATATAAAATACATCTTCAGCTAGGAAGTCATCGCTTAGATTGTGTACCATTGGCATCATGACTTCATATACTTTAGAAGTTCCCTCCTATAGTGTTTTCACAAATTTAGCTTCATGATCCTTTTCCAAATGGTCCCTTCTTAAAGTTTGTGTTTCTTACTGAATGTCAAGCTGCAATAAGAAAACACTCCACCGCATTTACCAAAATTCGTTGGTATTGCAGCCTGGTGGTTTTTATTACTTTCCTTTAACGTTCATTTGAATAAGATAGTAAATTGGGAAAAACAGTACTAAAACCAGAAGTTGCAACATGGTTTGTGAAGACACAAACCTATAAATGAGCATCAAAGCCAGGAACCAGGAAAACTAGATACCATCTGTCTACATGCTTGAGTCTGTCTTTCTTCTCCTTCAGAATCATACCTGACTTGAAAGACACTCATACAGCAAAATAAAATAATTTTAAAAATCAAAACAGTAAACAACCATGGCAGTTCCAGCTTAGTGATCACTTTCTTCCTCATGGCTTTCCTACTCTTCATATTTATCAGCACTGGGCATTGCAGTCTGCCACAGCAAATTGTAGTACATCGGAGTAGGAGTTGCACTGCAGAAAATAAAACATTAATGATGATGATTAAAGTTTTCCTGGGATTCCCATATGCACTCATTATCACTGCTGCCATCATTTACTCTGTGCTGTGCTCATTGAAGGCTCTGCAACTGTAGTGGGTAGGATATACTGAAACTGAAATAATTTCTTGAAAATAATGTGAATCTAAATTCATCTTCCTTCACAAAATAATTCTGAAATAACAGTGCAGTCCCAAAATCCCAAAAGAAAACTTATTCAGAGGTACCAAAAGAGGAAGCTGGTTGCATTGCTCAATAAGAAACCCCTTGAACATGACAAGCAGAAGGGAGTGACCACATGAATATTTCCTGTGCTGAGGTATCCCAGCTTTCGCAGGGGTGTTGTAAGGTGACTTGTGTAATTTGTGGGTAGTCTGGATGGCACCTCATCGAGGAGATAGGATTCAATAATGGCCAAACCTGACTAAGCCAACATAATGCCAAGCTGCCTTTGAAAGCCCTTCCGCACCTGCTTCTCTTTCTGTGTTTCTGACACATCCCTTGTGCTGTCTCGGTGCTCTTTGGAGCCACAGGCAGTCAGATCAGAGGGTTCAGACAGCAGAAAACATTGAGTTATAGATCAGTTTAGCTTTCTGCTCTGGATTATTTGTGGTTTGATGTACACCCCTAGCTAAGAGCTTGCAGAAAGCATGACTGATAGGTAGGAGAGGGAGTGGAGTGGGACTTCTTTCAGCTGTTAAGTCTGGTTTAACTGAATCATGAACCTGCAGGAGAAGTCTCCCCAATACACTGACCTTTGGTAGTGAAGCTCTTTGAAACAGTGCCTGCCATGCTCCAGGCCTGGCTGACTGCTTCTGCCTTTGTGCTGAAATTCATCACCTCTTGAGGTGGGTCTGTGAAATCAGTCTCTGTAGAGCTAGACTATAAACTGGGCTGTGGCTCGAGGTACATAACTTCTGACTCAACAGCAGAGGTGATGAGCTGTGGTGTAACACCAGGAGTGAGTAGCTGGAGGTCACAGGGCAGGAACTTCTACCCACGTGGTTGCTGGAGCCAATCTCTCATGCAACTACGTTTGGAGTGTTCTCAAAGGCTCACATTCCATGAACTTATCAGCACCTGCAATTCCTCTGTGCTTTGTAATTAGAGGATGCTCTGTGTGGCAGCTACACTAGTGAATTCAGTGTTTTTTTCCAGAAAACAATCAGCTGAGGGAACAAATTAACACATAGCAATTGTAGCATGGCATTGTGGGCTTGTATAACTCATGATGGTTGTCCCTAATTTAGTCTTGCAGCATAGATGGGCATGGCAGAGAGGACACGACTACACCAGCAGTGCAGTTACTAGGGCTTACTGGTACCACAGATCTCCTTTGCAGAACAGAGTCATGCAGATCTGCCCAATATAGACCCATCAGCTGACATTACACACCTTCAAAATCCATTTGCTTTCACCATGATTTAGGAATAAAAAGAAATCCAATTTCTTCCATGCTGGCAACCAATCATAGGTTATGTTTGGGATAAAAAACACCTTAACAGTGCCTGTATTTAGACTTGGACCAAAATGCCTGAAGGCATTGTCTTCATGGGTAGTCTCAGCGTTCCACTGAGAGTTTGCATGCAGTCAAGTCTCCAAAAAAAGTGTGATTCTATATGCAACCATATAACCTGCAGAGGTGGTGTCAGAGGCAAGGACCAGTCACCATAAAGATCTGTCTCTGTTCTGGCTGGTGTAAGGGATGAGTAAATTTTCTGTACTTCTCTGAGAAAACATTGTAAAAATATTTTACTTATAATACATTTTCTGCTTGGAAAGTGTGTCAAAGTTTGAACTGATTGTCCACTAGGAGTGAATTCTTTCTTTTGTCCTTGGCTCTTTGAATTGCCCAGCGCCCAATGAACGCCTTCTCTTATTACAGCCAAGACAAAATGTGTAATGGATTGTAGCAGATCCCCTCCCACCCCTGCCAATATGTAAAGAAGGCTAGTACTGCTTGTAAAAAAACCCTTGATGCACATAGTTTCTCATTCTGATCACAAGGCAAAGCCAAGTATGATGGAAAGCATTTTCCCTCTGAACTGATTTGTTGTATATATATTACTGTTTGCAGCAACAAAGATGCCACTGTAACGTAAAAATGTCAGTCCTCAGGTTGAATTTGTAGTTGCAGTTAGCTGATTACATAAAAAAAAATGCTGAAGAACTGTAAAACTCTCAAATATTTATTCAGCACAAAAGCTGAATCCTGTAGGCTCTTCCTTCACCATGCACATGTACATGTTTCTTGCATACTATTTAGTGTGTGATGCTTTTTATAGCATAGTTTGTGTAATTTGTTACTTTGATTTACTGTATTATTTCCTGAGTATGGAACAATTGTGAAGTAAGTGCCGTTTTGTGGGTAGCAAAGTATTTGAGTGCAGCTCACCATCTCCAATGTGTCAGCTAGATCTATTGCACAACTATTAATGGCATGTTCAGAAGAACTTTTACACTAATATTGAAATTCTTTTAAGACCATATTTAGCTTTGGCAAATGCTTCCCACATGTCTTTGAGTGGCAGTCCATCTCTTGATGTTTATATTTGCCATCTGGATATGTCAGCTTTGTGCAACAGAAGTATGAAATGGTGTAAGTAAATCTCAAGAAGTGGAAAGAACATTTTAAAAGGTTTACAAACAAATGTACCCATAAATAGTATAGAAAAATGAATACGTAATGGTGTGGACATATTTTTTTGGCAAGTCACTCTACAGTCTGAATTTTTTTTTAGATCTTACTGCTACAGATATCCCAAAAGGAATTTTAAGGAAGTTATATAAGAGAAAAAAATATACATTGTAGTTTTTAGTTTGTTAATTTTTTTGCTTGTGATCATATGTTCAGTATGCTCAAACCCACATTTCTCCCAGTACTTCATATAAAGAGGCAAATTTCCTGATTTTCACGTATTTTCCCACACAGCTTTTGTGGAAAATATTTGAACAAAGGATAAACTACCTGTAAAACAAAAAAATCCTTAGTTCCTTGGACAGGCAGATGCAAGAGTTATGCATTATGCTTATGGCTGCTGCCATTACTCTTTGTACTTACAAGAATTTGAATGCAGAGTCTGTTTTTCCTTGTACTTGGGTACAACTCAGATAAGCATCAGGAGAGATTAAATATAACTGTGTAAAGGACGTAACCTCCTGTTACGCTGCAGTAGGTTTGTTTTGCCACCAGCTACTGCAGGATAACATGAAATTCAGATATTGGCAGTAAAACACTTGCCGTTGAACTTCATAATTTCTGTAATGTGGAATATTTGAAGCCATAGCTTAAATACAATTAGGTGCAACCAATGGTTGTATACCACAGAACAATTAGAACTCAATCCCTAGAAATGTGTTAAAGTTCTTTCCAGTTATTTATGCTGTTGAGATAGGCAGAGCCATATACAGTACTCAGAAGTGATATGCATTCATCTGTGTTTATATCACCAGGAAAGGCACTGCCATCTGCCCTTAGCAATTCTCTCTTTACTCTTTGCTCTTTGTAAGATGAGCCCAGCTTCAATGTCATGTTACAATTTATTGCTAGTGATCTGCTTCGAGTTGTTTTCTGGTCACCAGTAGCTTGTTTGGAGTCCCTTTTTTCTTGTCTGTTGTCTAGTGTCACTGTAGGACTTGGGACTTGTCAGGCTTATTTTATACATTATTAGCTCAGCAGTGCAGGGGATGATTACTTTCTCATAAAAAAGTAAATTCTTTCTCGAAAGACATGTGTTAATCTTGGCTGTTGAGACAGTGTTTTTTGCAAATTTCCTTGAAAGCTGAATACTCAGGATTTTATTCTTCATTGCCTCACACCTCTTGCTGTCATTTAAACTCCTGCCAAAGAACATCACTGAAACAGCGGCTCTGCACTCTGCGTCTTCCAGCCTTCCAGGCTGCTGCTTTGTAATCTTAATGTCCTTGTACACAAGTCGTATTTACTTTTTTTTATGTCATCCCAAGTTCATTTCCTTTAATGATCAAAAGTCGATGGCACGGTTTAGCCCTGGAAAGGACTGATACTACAGCCCTTGCTGAGTTACTGAGTCTAACTAGGGCAGAGGCCAGCTGGGCAGCAGCCAGTGCCTGACTCCAGCATTTGAGAGCTAGGAAGCTCTAAGGTGAAACATTATTGGACACACTTGAGAACTAGAGGCTGTAAATAGAATAAAGCAAATAAAAACATTCAGAAAAATGAGGGCTGCAAGAGCCGGGCACTTTCCAAACACTCTTCCTATTTTACTTTTTTTTTTACAAGGTCTTCATTTGTAGGGTAATACAAGTTCTGGATCTTGGCACTGCCCTTTCTGCAGCACAACATGTGTTAAACTTTCTGTCCTATTTCTTGTGATGTAGTTTGCTGAAAGGCTCTGGTATGTATTTGTTAAAGTTCATGACAAAGTGACTGGTGGGGTCAGGACACAGCAATTTTTCAAGTGTATTCGGTGTGCCTCAGTGATCATCTACTATTTGTGCACCAGGGGATTCATTTTCATTGTCTGAGAGCTGCTCTGTCATTGAAACTTGTAAGAAGTTGGGACATTCACAACTGCTCCATGTTTCTCCAAAGAGAAACAACCAAAGTTTATTGTAGAACAATTTCTCCAAAATCCTGTTCTGTTCCATTTTTCTGGTGTTCTAATACTACAGCAGTGTTTGCTGTTAATAGGGAACCCGGGCTCACAGGGAAACAGGTACATTGTGGCAGCAGCAAAGTTGTCAACCATCACTCCACAGTCCAAACTCTTCAACGCCCAGCTGGGCCCACATATGTGATAATATTTGTTAGCAGATAACTTTATTAAGCAAGCTGTCAGCCTGATTGGAAGCCTTTTCCATTCAATTTTTCTGTCCTCCGAATTTCCCAACTTAATTTTTTCACAATGAGCTCTGCCCTCATTATCAAGAGCAGCGCTTTCTGGAGTAATCTGGAGGAAACTTTGTGATGCCTTTGCCTTCCATTTATAACATTTCATTTTAATTAACACTTGATTTTTTTTTTTTCAATCTCCCTGTACTTTAGCAAGGATATCATTGAAGGAATGTGTATTCTACTCAGGTAAGGGAGAATTGTTCCTCCTGTCATTTCTTTGTGACATTCCAATAGTGTTTGCTTTATTTAATGGCTGCACAAATTACCTCCCAGGGGAAGCTGCACATTTAATAATACTTACGTCCCTTGGCCTAATTCTCTTCTATCTTGGTTTTTTGTTAGCCATCCACCCCTGTGCATGGTATATATCCACTATTAGGAGGAGTACATTTTGGGGATTCAGTTGCATTTTTCCTTCATCCACAAAAAACATACAGTGACCCAAAGGTCATGTCAGTGATATTGTACTTCTGGCCAAAGCTGTCTACTGGTTTGTCCCACTTACTTGCAGGGGTGACTGGCATACCTGCAGTGTAGAACTACACAACCCTTCCAGATGTACACCAGCCCTGCAGGAACAGACAAGTCATGATGAAGAATCCAAAATCTTACTGGTAGAGGCCACACTGGTAAAACCTAGAGCAGCACTTCCACAGGCACATCGGTCTTAGGTCCCCATAAAGGACTTTCGTGTTTGAGATTTTGTAGGGGACAGAGAGTCCCTTGGTGGAATTGTGTGGGAGTGAGCATACGTCATAGCCAGTGGGTTCCTACTGTGATCTTTCTGTACTGGAAACAGGCCTCAGACCACAACTCCACTAAAGAAATCATCAAGGCACTGATAACTGCAGGTATTTGCTTCTCTGACATTTGTCTCTGCCCCTGTCAGTGCCCTGGCCTTTTGGTCTATCAGCTCAAAAAAATAACCCTGTGGGTAAATAATTTGCTGGACCAAAGCTGGACCAGTTTTTCAATCACTCCCACAAAGATCTGGGTTGGCTTCCCCAATGGAGTGTAGCGTTGTGATTTGGGGACTGGAGACTTGTGATCAAGATGGATAGAGAAGGATAGAGAGGGGCTCTGTGGTTTTGCAACCCAGCTTCTTGTTGGTTATGTTCCAGATATGGGAACATATTCTGACTGAAGCAGATTTACTGGGATGCTCAAGAGAGAATGACTGTTTTGCAGTCAGTGTGTTACCATATAACATGCACAGGAACTACAAAATGAAATATCCAAATGTATGACTGCCTCTATTACTTCATGAAAGGCTGAAAGAAAGAAGCCAGAGCAAAAGGAAAAACTGGAATAATTCACAACTGGCAGTTAGAAAGTGATACAGTATGTCAAAAAAGTAGAGACTTTATGAAAGCCAACTACGCACTGCAGTCATTTATGCTTAGCAAAGCCTCTAACTATTGCTATACGTAGAAGGATAGAAAATAATTAACATAAAACTGGTTAGTTATTACTTGGGCGTGGAGCCAAACCATGTTATGGCTGATTTACTGTAAAGGCTTATCTGCACTCGAGCTGTTCCCACCCTTGCTCTGGTACCAGCATGGCTTCCCTTGTAGTAATTGTAGTAACAATTGCAGGAGCCCTTGTTGGACCAGGCTGGGGCACTTTTACTGCCATGTGGCCTAATCTGGTTGTGCAGTCATGTGTGCAGGGAGCAGCATACGGGTGTATGTTTTACAGCTTTTCCTTAGAAATGGCTTTAATATGCACACCGACAGTCAGCACATAAAAATAATTTCCACTGAGTGATTTGGGGATATAGGAAAGACAGATTTCAAGGCTTGTTATTATGCTACTGTGATGGGCTTTAAAAAGGAAACATTTTTCCTAGCATGTTATAAATATCTCATCATGCCGTTATGATCACAGGCTAAGAAACCATCATGGCTGTGCACAAGAAAGGCAACACTGCAGTAACATAAAATCTCTCACTCTCTTTTGTTTTCTTTGTGGATTGTTGCAAGAAGGAAAACTTGCTAATGTTCAGACATTTTCTTGTCCTTTTTTAAAAATCAGAATTTTTTCTTGTTTACCTTAGAAACTGAGGCTTTGTTTATGGTGAGGTCTGTGCTGTGCTGCACATGGAAATAAATACAGGCAGTCCCTGTTTGAGAAGGCTCCTTACTCACTGATCTACTCCTAGGCTATGTGCTCACAGGGAAACCTGGGCGTGGGTTTGGTGATTAGCCCAACACATGTACGTGTCTCAGAGGACTCAGGCATTTGAGAACATAAGCTTAAGTTTCTAAATGTAAGCAAGGAGTTAAACAATAAACCATATCAGGTAGCCTGTTTGTTACCACATGGCCATTTCCACTGCTGTTCTCCATAAAGTTGTGCCAGCACTTTCATTTTAAACATTGTTTTTCATTAGTTTATATAATACAGCTGTAAATTTTTTTTCAGGCTCAAACTTGGAATTTAAAGGGAAAGACTAGTTAAAAAACACACTTCTGATTACTCTGCTTTTGAATGATATAAAAGTGAAACTGCTGGGCATATTGCATGTGATGGATATGTCCATCTCAATAAAAGCTTTGGATTAACAAGTGGAGGATGTACAAAGCCATCTCTGCAGATGTCCTGCATGAGACAGATGTCCTGGAAAAGGCCAGGGAATGAGCCTGTGTGCTGAATCTTGAGCTAGAATGGAAGAGCTCAATAAACAAAATACCAGTATAGTAATGCTGAAGGAATATAATTAGTCACCACATTCTTGACTTGTGCTCTCTGGTATTTCCATTGTAAACATGGAATGTTTTCATCAAGCATAAGGATAACCATGGATACAAGAGTGTGTCCTTGTGTGACAAGCATTAAGGATCTATCTGATCACTGAGGGTGACATCATACAAGGCAACTAAACCATCTAACAGCCTGCTAGAAAACTAGCCTCTTTTTTACCCAGCCTACCTAGCTTCTGCCAGGTTAGTGAGCTCAGTTACTCTGGTGAAGCCTCCAAATGCTAGAGCCAGCACAAGTGAAATGGCTCAAGGAAAGACCCTCTTGACAGCACCTGCTGATGTAGCTCAGTCCCTTTACATCACCAACCCGGGAGCATCTTCCAGGGGGACATTTTGCAGCAGTGTTGAGCAGCTGTTTCTCCTTCCTTGCCCTGGACCCTGTGCCACCTGTCTGTGGGGCTGGCACAGCTGTTTGTGCAGCCAGGCAGTGAGCTGTGCCGGGGAACATCCCTGTACTGGGCGATTTCCTAAGGCAGTTTGCTGCATGGTTATGGAAACAGTCGTGCTGGTGCAACTCTGGAGGCTGCAGGGAGACACAACTGCTCAGCCGATGGGGACAGGTTAACAGCAACTGCTACAGCCAGTTCCAAAGCAGTAGTGGGACCAGAAGCCAAACCACAGGCTCAAGTTATTTACAGTCCTTTCCATTGGCTTCAGTGAACAACAGGTAGTCCCCCTATTGCAACCCCAAATCTTGGTAAGATTGAAATCAGTGAACAAGTATTTTCTCCATGATTTCAAATTATTTGTATTTAGACTAAAAATCTTACCCAAGTTTTGATGTTATCTCAAAAGGTCCCATCTGAGGGCATTTGGTGTGGGCACTAAAAGACCATTTGGGTAGCAACCCATAGATTTTTATCCCACTTCCTGGCTCATTCACCCTGGTCCCTGTTGTGACTAGGGATGATGTAAAATAATATGAAAGCAAGTTCCTTCAACCTTAATGATGGGGGAAATAAAAAACCATGGCTGACAGAGGCTCCTATGCATCCAGCTCAGCTGAGAACATAGGCTGGGAAAAAAAGCACCTGATGCCTGGGACATGTCCACTGAAAGAGACCATCCAGTATTCTTCCTCATGCTAGGACACATACTCTGTGATTGTGGTGTTTTAGCAGTTGTGCAGGGAAAGTCCCATAAAAGCCATCATGGACTTGACCATCTGGATAGGTCAGTATATCCATAAAAAGCCTCTAGTGTTAAACCAAAATGAAGAATAACTCTCCAAATTCGTCAAAGGAAGTCCGACATGTGGGTGTTAATACAATGGGCCCTTTAGGTGTGTAGCTCTTGTCTACAGCAGGATTACTAAAACCTCATTTATTTTTGACTTGTTTTGAATCTAGGTGCCCACTATCCAGTGCAAGTATCAAAGTTTTGGCCAGGAACGCCCTAGGCGTGGAGATAGTAAATGATAATTCCTGCATGAACCTGTGAGGGCCTGGTTCTTTGGAATGAGGTTTCAAGCACCCCTAGGAAAAAAAAATCAGAGAAAACAGCTTGATGTCTCTGGCAGAAAGATTTGTTTTGCAGTTCCTTTATCTGAAAAATGCCTACAATTACACCTAGCCTAACAGAAAAGCTCTGAGGCTTGATTAGTGTGTGCAAAGCCCATCAGTGTGTACATGGTGAAGTCTATAGCCCTGAGAAAGGAAGGAATGAGGTGGCCCAATAACTCTGCAGTGAGTCAGTAGTGTTACCTAATCTATAGTACAGCTGTGCCACACGGAATACTCACTATAAACACAGTGCCTTATCACCTGTTTGTTGGGAAGGATGAACTGGTTCAGCTAAAATAAGAACAGGAATAAACCTGTGTCCAATAGCACTTCCATCTTACCTCCAGTTATGCTCCAGCGCTCCCTGTCCTGAGTGAAACAAACTCCCAGAGGAGCTTTTTTCCTTGAAGTACTTCATTGAACAAAAAGATGGAGGATGAAAATAACCCAGAGAAATGGGGTTTTGTGCAGTGTTTCAGCCAAGGTTTCCAAGCTGACATACAGCAATAAATATCAGGGACCAGCTACTTCCTTTCTTACACGAGTCCATGTGGAGATGGTGATTCCCCCCAGATCTCCCCTGGGAAACACTGGACCAGAGCATTATTTAAAAAAGAAATAAAGGATGTCAGCAAACAGAGGTGGATTTTGCATTATTCCCATCTCATTTTTCCCTTTACAGTCCACCAGGTTCCATGGCTGCATTCATGGGGTCTCATGGAACCATCTGGCCAATGGAGGCTTTTCTTCCACGGGAGTTATGTCCTGCTCCCCACCTCCGTGCAGGAGGAAGGGGAGCTGACACTGAAGCATAGCACAAAGGTTCAGCAGATGTTGGTTCTCATGTCTGTAGGGACATGTTATGTGTCCTGTGTCACATCACTGTTGCTCATGTGAGATGTGAGGGTATGAGCACCTTGTCACTCTGGAGGATCCTCCAAGCTCCTTAGGGCTAGGTAGGTGGACGATCACAGAGAGATGCTTAGGAAGTACACAGACATCCTAAGACTGCAGGCAATGAGTCCTTTATGTATTATTTTGATGATTATACAGCATTTATGTTGCAGGAGTGATCAGATGTGCTAGAAATTGTACAAACTGATAGGGTAATATAGCTTCTGTCACTAGGGAACATTTTTAAAAGATAAAAGAGCTGAGTCTGGGGGGAAGGTAATTCTCTGTCTGAGAAATATGTACCAAGGTGATGATGAGAGTTCTTGTACATGCTCATAGCTCTTACCCAGAAAAATACACTTGTAGCAGAATTGTTAATCTTGGGCTTTCCTGCTTGGTTGTGTTTTCTTTAGAAATCCAGTTCTTGAATCAGAAAAATCTCATCAGAATAGAAATGAGAAGGAGGGGAAGGGCTAATCAGTAAGGGCATAAGAAAATAAGGAGATGGGAATAAGGAAGGAACAGAAAGAAAGAAGATGAGTACAAGAGGAACAGAAGAGCTTATCATTTGAGATCATTAGCATGGGGAGATTACAGAGTACGGAATTAGGACAAGTGCAGTGTAAAGCAGGAACAATTGCCATTGGTAGGTTAGGAAAAGAATGAAAAATAGCCAGAACTTTAAACATGTGTAAATGTTGGCTTCATGAGCTCTAGAGGCATCAGAAAAAAACTGGTGACCACTGGGACTAAGACAGGGGCACTACCTGAGCAAGGACAGAAGAGGATGCTGCTGCACCCTCCCACACTGCTTCCCATCAGCAGCACCCTTTTGTTAAGTCTATTCTTAGAGTAGTTCCTCCTAAGACCACCTGTCTCGATCCAAGCAGTTCTGCACCCCAGTGCTGAGAAACGTGCAAATACAGAGTAAATCCATTTGCAGTTGTCCTTCATTTCAGTGAAGTCCCAAACCAAATCTGGGTCTATGTTTGAGTCTTAAGAGGAACTGATGCCAGGGATAGGCATTCCTTAGGTGCAGTTTTCCTCACTTACTAAATAGCTCTCCAAAGTAATTTCTCCCTGAGCAGTGCAAAAAAGCCAGGCCTGTCCTTCCATAAATCTTATATTCTTCTTTACTTCCACAAGGAATGACACACCATCCCTTCTCTGATTTTTCTCCTTTCTTTCCATTTCCTTTGCACGTGCACCCTTTGGTCTGTAATCAGTCCTAAGAAAGCTCTTTGGTACTCAGTGGTGCCTCCTGCTTCGATCACTCTGCATCCCCACTACCCCTTCAGATGTGTCATCACCACTTCTGCAGTGTCAGCCATCAAGCAGGAATAGGAAACTGATCCAGGTGTAAAGTAATCCTCTGAAACTGGGAAACTGGGAGAGAGGGAGGGAGAAGCATGGTCATTTTTAACCTGGATTGATTCTCTTGCCCACTTCATGCTGCAGCCTCACAGACACACAAGTGGAGCAGACAATGGCAATGAGCTGGCGGGTGGGGGATCTGTGCTGCTGAGCATTCCTTGCCAAAAAGACAAGGGTGGCATGTGCATGTGCTCTGGCCTGCTCAGCCCATGTTGTGCTGGCCAGTGGCTTCTGTTGCACTTCTCCAAAATTAACCCTTCCTTCCTCCTTCCACTTGGGGTGTTCATGGCAGCTGGAGTGGAAAGTTTTTATTCTACAGAAAACTGGCGATGTATAAGCTCAAGGTGACATTGTTTTAGCTGAGTTATGTTGGCCCATCACACAGATGAGGGTGTGTTTGACTGTGCTGACTGCTCTAACAGCATTATCTTGAGTTTTGTGAGATCAGGTGATGTTGGTAGGGGCCAGCTGTTAGAATCAGATGATCATATGTTAATCCCAGCTCTCCTTTTCCTTTCTTAAAGCAGGCTTGTGGCAGGAAAGTGAGGGATGCCTGACAGCATGGCACAAAGCCTGAAACATTTAAAGGCCCATAAAACACACTTCAAATGAACACATTTTGTAAAATCTCATTAGTTTTTGAGGCTTGACTCATGACAGCTGAATCCTCAGGACTGGCAATATTCATATAATGTAAAAAAGCTATAAACATTAAAGAAGTAAAAATGCACAAAGCTTCTACATCAGTCACCAGCTGCAGCCAAGCTATGGCTCATTGGAATTTATTGCAGCGTCTTCAAGCGGAGCAAGTGGTGAAGTGGTGCTATTACTTCTGATTACAAATGGACTGGGTGAGAGCATTGGTGCTATAAACACCCCATTATAGAATGGGCTGCACAGTACAACACCTACTATATTAATAACATTCAATTCTTCAGATTTAAAAATTGTGCTCTTAGGAAGAAAAGCAATTGCATTCTAGTCTGACACCTGAAAGGAAATGTGGGAAGGAAATAACTGTAACTGGCACAGCTAATAATGGATTATGATGTTACCCTCCTGGGAACTGAAGGGAATTGTCCTGCACTTTAGATTGGAACTAGCCTGCTTTCTCAAACATAAATCTGTGTTAATCCTTCTAAAAGCTAAAAAAAAAAAAACCCAACCAAATGAAAAAAAAACAACAAACCAGGTGAGCTTTTGCTTCCCATGGAGCTCCTCTGTGCCATTTTGATGAAAGAAAAGGATCAGAAAGCTGCCTCTATGTTCATCTGAAAGCACCCCACTGAAAAGGGAACCAGAGACATCCCTGCTACCTACCCCACACACGGTGTCTCCACACCTGCTGACGACAAGAAGAGACTGGAGAAACCTGCCCTTTGGTAGGCTTTACTGAACATAATGATCCCTCAAGGCCTTTGGCAATTCAAAGATTAGAGGGCTCAGCTGAACACAGAAGCTGCAGCAATTTAACTTATATCATGGCTTTGATTTGCATTCCCAGAGCCAGTTCAAGGTGTGGTTTCACAGGTTCCTAGGTCTCTGTTCCCATCCCCTTGCCAGAGGTCTGTCTCTCTCAGCAGAGCTGGTGGCCCTTGCCCTGGGTGCTCATCTCAGCTGGTTTTGTGAAAAAAACCTGCACACCTTCCCACACACCTTCCTTCATCAGCCACTTGTGGGAGGACACTGGACTTTTGCCCTGGAGGAGCCGGGGCACAGGGAGGCTTGTTTCTGCCAGCTCACAGCAGGATGATGATGACAGCAAAAGTGCTGAATAAACACCTGAGGAGGGGACTCCTCCAACATAGCAGGAAGGGTTGTCAGACTTTGTCAGTCAGCACAGCTGCTTTACTGCCCCAGGGAGTTCAAACCCTTCCTCTCCCACACCCCAGCATTATGCCCAAGTCACATGACTGTGGGATAGCTGGAGAGGAGGAAACACTGTCTCATCCCATGATTTTTTTAACTACTGAAAAGAAAGAAATCAAGATTCAGGCAGGAGGAGCAAAGTGGGGCTTTAGGTATCACTCCCCTCTGGTGGATCTTAAAGAGGTTTTGCAGGTAGACAGCTTTAAACCCACTGCATAGACGTTGCACCAACATCATTGAGTAGGTGGTTGATTTGAGGAAGGTCATCTAGCAAGCAAATGGCAGAACTGGGAAAAAATGTTACATTAGACCCTTTCACTGTGCCTCCAACTATGAACTCCTCCGGCAGAGACAGACCATAGTTAAATGCTTGCATCTTCCTCCTATCCCCTATCTGGGCATCAGATTTTAACCAAACCTGTCCTATCCCTGCCGAGGCCCCCTTCCACCACCCAGATCATGCACAAAGGACCTTACATGACTGCACTCACCCTCATACACCCTGGAGGAGGGGGAAGGGACAAATTCATGCTTCAAGACACACCAGTTTATTCATCTCAGTCCACCCTTGCATCTTTGATTAAATTGATGAGACATTACACATGGGCTACAACAAAAAACCCCATGGCCTCTAGGAAATAAAATGGCTGAAGAGGGGCCTAAAGGTTTGTTTAAACCTTTGTAATTTTGTCAGACTAAGTAGTGCATGAGCATGGATGAAGATCCAGCCTACTTTGTAACAAGTGTAGATTTAATAAATCTGTCTCAACTCCAGTTGTACAATGAGAAGCTGTTATAATGGGAGGAAGTCAGCTGAGCTCATATTCTTCCCTGAGACAAAAGTTCTGGGCACAGCTAGATGAGAAAATAGCTACAGCTTTTTCTAAAGAGCCAGTGAAATAAAATCACCGGAGGAAGTACTCCAAAACCCTTCAATACCACAAACTATGTAGGCAATCAGTACAAGCAAAGATTACATCATTTCCAGAAACAAGCAAATAGTCCCATCAAGGTAATTACCAAGTATGAGGCAAACAACTGGATCAGGGTACAGGTAAATACTGTTTAACCAGAATACTGAGCCTGTTATCCTGGAGAACAGAATGGAAGTATTTCAAGGCATATGTTAATTCATCAGCTCTCACCATTATTCTTGATCAGAAGTGCTTGTGTTTCAATACTGTCTTGGGAAGCTGTGTACATCAAAGCCCAGGCATACACACACACACATATCCAGGTCCACCAGCTCTACCAGGCAGGTATAAATCTCCAGCAAGCAGATGATAACAAATAGCAGAAAGCCCATGAAAATACATCTTAAGCCAGCTCTGGGAACAGGAATCAAAGCCACAGTTTAAGTTACTTTGATTCAGCCCCTGTGTAGAGACTAGAAACTGAAAATCAAAGTGGCTCTTGGTACCTTTTTAAGGGAGCCAATTCACCATAGCCTAAATGAAAAGAGTTAGTAGCTCCCACAGAAGTGCAGGTACAATTCTCAGCTGAGATGTGAGAAACTCTTTTTCTCTTTTCAGAGCTGGTTACACAAAGAAGTTGACTTTGAAATGTGTGGTGCTGCAATGTAATTGCTTCATATAAACTAGTATTCAGGAGCAGTCTCCAGCTGAACACAGGGCTTCTTCCCGAGTCGTTTCTGCTTGGAGAAAAAGAGCGAGGATGCTTCAGCTGGACACCAGGGTACCTGGTGGAATTGCTAGGCTGTGGGATAGCTCCAGTGGCACCCATGGGGGCAGGTGAGAGCATAGCCAGAAGTCACAAATTTCCACACTGACGTTCACACCATCAAATCTCCGTGATTCACCTTTTGGGTGTTATCATAGTTCCAGTTACCAACAGATCACCATGAAGAAACCAGCTCTCCCCAGAGTCACTGGACGTAGGTGGACATCAGTGTGGGGATACCAGTGTCAGACAGCAGCAAGTTTTCCAGACAGGCACAACTCTTCCACATAATTTTGGCTGCCATTTCCCAGCTTTGTCTTCCTCCCCCAGTGACAATGCCACAAGTACAAGGATGCAGAGGAGAAGGAGTTCAATATGGTGTTCTTCTGGTAGAACTTCATTTCATATGTCTTCCCTCCTTGTCATGAGCTTGGGAGAGTGGAGAGGAGTATGCTGAGGGCCACCACTGGTCCACAGGACATGCTTCAAAGTGTGAAAAGGCACTTTTCCACCTGAGAGATATTGCATCAGACTACCTACTCAAAAGGACACAGTCATTACAATCCAGAAAAATGTTGCCAGGACAGCATGTGGAAATCCCCAGGTCTTGGAGTGTTGTTAGTGTCACCTATGAGGGTCCCTAATTTAATTGGCTTGGCACAGCCCTTGCTGTTGTTATCCCTGAGCCAAGGCTTGCACTTAATGATTACAACCAGGTATGGGCAACTTCATGCAGCCTTGGCCTTGAGGGAGCAGACCACCCAAGAACAGGATCACTCCTGCTTACCTGGACCACTCCCACCTTGGGCTATGCCACTGAAGGTACCTTGAGCCCCACAGTTTTCCAATAAATCTTCATCTAGGAGTTGTCTGCTCTACTTCAGGCCTTCTGAAAACCTCACAGAGGTCTTAGCTTTACAGTGTGTGCAGTTCACCAGATTGTCACCTGACTCCATTACTGAAAAAAAGAGGACTGCCATCCCACTTAAGAGTGTTGCTAGCACTGCCAGGGTTTCTTCTTTAGTTTCTAGAAGGTTCTGTGAGCACTCTCTATGTGTGGCTCAGTAAGATAAAATCCATTTAATGACTGCAGGAGCCGTGACAGGCCAGTAGCGCAGTGCTGCTCCCCATCACCACAAGCTGTGTGGAGACACCAGCCAGGCTCCATGAGCCAAGGGCAATCGGTCCCCTCCTGCAGCAGAGAGAGAGAGGGACTAGCCTCAGCTGGAGACCAGGCTTTAGATGTTACAAGGCTGGCTTAGCAGCCTGTGTTGTTTGTCCATCAGAGTGGCAATTTCCAGAGCATGTGTCAGACAGCCCTCCTACACTGATGCTGAGAGCAACACCTTGGATACAGGCCTGACATAATACTGGGAATATTTGTCATTATTTAAGGTATGCATTATCACTGATACAGTGACATGATCTGATGAGCTGTGTGAGACATCTCCTTTGCTATGATGTGCAAGTTCTGCACGCTTGGCAAGCTTTTATTAATTTGAAATAAAATGGGGGATGTCAATTAACTGTGGGAAATATGTCAGCCTTTGTTAAGGCACTTTGTACTCCTTTATTAATTTTTCATACTGCCATGGATGCAAGTCTGCTTGGGGGAAATACCAGTTGTACACAGTGCACTTCCCTGCAGGGTCCTGTGTTGGGGGGCAGGGAATGGAGAGAAGGGGAGGCTCTCTGTTATTGCTTAGTAAGATTTTCAAAGTGCCTGAGTACACTCACGAGTGTATAAAACTGTGCAACTTGTGCATAATCAGTTTGAGTGCCTGAGTGCTGGCCTATGGGGCCTCTCTCCCTGCCTGCAGCATCATTCCAAAAGCTTAAGTTCTTTTCTAGGTCATGATCAATTTTATATATTATTAAATGTTGGATAATGCTGGTACATTAAAAAAAAAAAAGTAAAATTCAGCTTTAAAATTACAAATATTAGACAGAAGTCTTTCTCCCTGGAAAGTGCAGTGCATTAATGCTGTGCAAACAGAGCAAAGGCAAGTGGCTTAATAAAGAACAAGCGAGATCCTGGTATACAGAGCTGAGGGCTCTTGGCGTGCTGTGGAGAGTCTTCCAGTGTGTATGACCAGCTTTCCTTTCCAGGAATCTTGGGAACTGGTGTGACATGGCTCTGTAATCTGCTCACAACATCAAAGGTGGATCCACCTCTGTGAACAATTTTTGCACTGGTTCTTTGATAAGGGAGAGATCTGTCTTGCATTCCCTGGACTCTGCTCCTCCCAGAGCATCACACCCCCATCCTGAACATTTCCGCATTTCTCAGGGCTAAGATAAGGTCACCAAACGTTTCTTTCTTTGTTTTTCCCTTTCTTCACTCTCAGGCCCTCTCAGGCCCAGATCTTGAGATCTGTGATCTCAAGGAGTGTGAGTCTGGAAAGGAGCAAAGTCAAACCCCTGAATTTTGCAAGAGCGAACTTCCAGCTCTTTAAGGAGTTGGTAAGTAAGATTCACTGGGAAACTGTCCTTAAGGACAGAGGTGATGACCAGCACTGGCAGCTCCTTAAGGCCCCTGTTCTTAGAGTGCAAGAGTGCTCTTCCAGTATGTAGGAAATCAAACAAGGCAGGCCAGAAACTAATATGGATTTTCTCCTCAGACTGAGATTAAGAAAGAAATGCACTGCCAGTGGAAGCAGAGACAGGTGACCTGGGGAGAGCACAGGGACACATTTCATATGTCTAGGAATGAGGTCAGGAAAGCCAAGGCAAAGCTGGAATAGGACTTGGCAAGAGAAGTAAGGAATTACACGAAGGGATTCCATAAGGACATAGGTTAAAAAATAAAAGGCCAAGGAGAGTGTAGCCCCCGTTATAAGCAAGAACGGTGACAGTGATATGGAGAAGGCTGAGGTAGTCAATGAGTTTTTTGTTTCAATCTTCACTGACAGTCAGGCTTCCCACTTCTCTCAATCTGAGGATCAACCCTGATCCTCTAAGTAGGTGTGGGGGGAGTGGAGCCCCTCCCTCCATAAGTGAAGAGCAGGATCAGGATCACTTGATGAAGCTGAATAGCCACAAGTCTATGGGATCTGAGGAGATGCATCCCAGGATCCTGAGGGAACTTGTCAATATTGTTGCTAGGCTATTCTCCATCATATTTGGAAAGTCATGGTGGTCAGGTGAAGTCCTTGGCGACTGGAAAACTGGAGACGTCACTCCCATTTTTAAAAATTGGTAAAAGGAAGTTCCAGGGAACTACAGACCTGGAATGAACATGGGAACATGGGAATACCATGGTGCAGAACCTCCTAGAAGATCTGCTAAAGCACATAAAAGACAAGGAGGTGTCAGCCAGCACATCTCTACAGAGAGCAAATCATGCCTGGCCAATCTGGTGGCCTGTGTTGGAGTGATGGCAAGAGTTGGTAAGAAAAGACCAAAAGACATCAGTTATCTAGTCTTCTGTTAGGTGTTCAGTCTGGTCCAACATGATTTCCTTATCTCCAAATTGGAAGACATGGATTTGATGGGTGGACCATTCAGTGGATAAGGAATTGGCGGAATGAATGCAGTCAGAGAGTTGTGATCAATGGCTTTATGTCTTTATGTCTAGGTGGAGGCCAGCAATGCATTGTGTCCCTCAGGACCCTGTCTTGGGACCAGTACTCTTGAACATCTTCATCAGTGACACAGACAGTGCGATCAAGTGCACCTTCATCATGTTTGCAGATGACCTGCAGCTGAGCAGTACAGCTGACTCAAAAGAAGGACAGCATGGGACCTGGACAAATTCAAGAAGTGGCCCATAAAAACTTCCTGAAATTCAACAAATCCAAGTGCAAAGTGCTGCACCTGGTTGAGAGCAATCCCAGATATAAGCACAGATTGGGAGAAGTCACTGAGATCAGTCCTGCAAAGGACTTGGGTATTCTCAGGGATGAAAAGCTGGCATGAGCCAGGAGTGTGTGCTCACAGTCCAGAAAGCTACATCAAAAGAGCTGTGGCCAGCACATCAAGGGGGGTGGTTCTCCCCCTCTACCCTGCCCCACGAGGTCACCACCTGAAGTCCTGTGTCCAGCTCTGGGAGCTTCAGTACAAGAAAGATATGGATGTGTTAGAGTGGGTCTAGAGAATGGCCATGAATATGGTCAGAGGAATGGAGTACCTCTACTACAAAGACAGGCTGATGTTCTGCCTCAGCTGGTAGGAGATAGTCATAGATTTGGGGTCCCAGAGGAGGCAGTGTGCTTTGGGCACCTGAAAGCTGCCTCCCTCCCTTGCAGCCCTGCTCTGAGTCCCAAACGGCCTTTAATGCTGCTTTTCAATAAATCTGAAGGCTCATGGAAGTAACCTTACCAAAGCCTTACTAACAGGACTCTGCAATGTATGTCCTACTTGGAATCCCTAAGTTCTTCTGAGAGAGAAATGCCACTTAAAAATTGTTAGTAATAGGAAATGCTTGTGTGAGTATTATAGGGTTTTGCACTGGCCAAGGTGTGCTGGATGACAGGAAAATGGACTGTATGAGGATTGTGCATGGTGATGAGGTGCTGGGAGAGAGGCAGGGAAGAGGATGAAGGGCTGGCTTTGAGGCAGGCTCCCTCTTGCATTCCATGTTTGTAGGGAGGGAGACTGTAGTGTGGGGCTGTTCCTCAGTGCCATAAACTGGTCTCAGATGGAGCTGCCATGGAGTGCATCCTCCTCTCCAGCCAGAGCTGTACTGGCCTTGCACATGCAGGGCTGGCAGGGAGCTGAACTGGCTGAAAGCTAACACTATGTGTCTTCAGAAAAACAAGCTCCACTACCCAGTCACTGTATCATTGCACTGGTGCCAGTGTTAGTGCCAGGGTGGGGGACAGCGAGGGTGGCTGGAGCCCCAAATTCTACCAGCAGGGTTGTGTCCCAACTCCTTGAAAGACATCTGGCTCCTGGCTGACTTCTTCCTTCCTTGTCAATCCAATGTGCAGTGCAGTGCCAAAGGGGTGCTCAGTTCTCAAAGGCTGCGGGCATGTTAATAAATCAAATGGCTGAGGGCTTCTTCCTTGGCCCCAAGGGCAGAGGGCACAGCTAAACTCTTCTCATCCATCCTTCCTCTTGGGGAATGGTCACTGGATTTTTCATATCCTCCAAACTGGACTGGACTGTAGTATGGAAACAAAATCGTGCTGGAGAGTGCACTGGTAGGAATTAAATGGCATGAGAGGTCAATGATGGCTCAGGAGGGTGGATGCCAGTGCGCAGGATTCAGCTGCAACACGCCATGGAGGTATGGGAGGAGGACCACTGGGAACCACTAGTTGCCACAGGGCAACTTATCCTGGAGGGTTATTCAGAGTTCTCTGAGAGGCAGTGCACTCTATAAGTATAGATACCCTTGTGGCCCCAAAATAAATATGGATCTGTAAAAATACCGTGCATTTCATAGGTGACAGTGCTGTAAGGAACCATGCCTTTCAGTGTTGTGCAGTGTTTGGATAGCCCAGAGACGTGAGACATGCTGCACAGCCTGCTCTGTGAGGGCCTTTGTGGCAAGATCTTCAAATGTCCTGGCCTCTCCACGCTGATATTTAAAGGTCAGTTGTATTCTGAAAAGTTACCTTGATAGGCAGGTTGAAAATTTGTCTTTCTAATCAACAAATCTGCCCAGCTAACAACCAAAAATTTTAATTTCCAGATGTGCCAGTTCAGGGTAAGTTCAACAGAGAAAGTCAGAGCAGCTTTTTCTGTGTCCCACCATCAGTAGTAAGAGCTGTGTAAAAAAGGCTTCCAATTCTGCAAGTGTGACTGGAGTTGGAGTAGAAATGTGCTATCTTGGGTAAGGAAGTTCTGCAGCCTTAGCTGGCATAAAACGTAGCAAGTCCTTATTTTAGTGAGTGAATTCCCCAGATGTGCCTGGGAATAAGTCAACTGACTACAGAAGATCTATTTTTCCACAATCACTATTTAGAGTAAAACTGCACTTTGAAGTTTGGAAGGCACTTTCGCAATAGAGGGGTTTGCCCTGATGTCCTTGGCCAAAAATAGTGGTTTATTTTTGTCCTGCTAACACATGCCAGCTGGCTGCCACCCTGATTCCTGATGCAGCTGCATTTCAGTTCTGCTGTTTATGTAAAGTTTGTGCAGTGTGATTTAGGGTCCTTTGGGATGAAATGTACTATGTAAATATAAACTCTTCTTTCCTTATTTCTGTAGCCATCAAGGGCCTAATTCAACCCACCTCGCAGAGATTTACACCAAAAGTTGCCCAAACAGATGCAGATCCCAGCATCATCTGGCACCTAGTGGGTTCAGTCTCTGGAGGGAGCTTCCATGAGCAGCTTCTGGAAACACCACAGTACTGCTCAGTGTCCCAGCACTCAGCCCCAGCTTGGCCCAGGACTTGGAACATCTGAGTGGAAGACTGTTTTGAAGACAAGGGTTTATTTTGGCATTTTACTACATAAATTTGTTGTTTGCTAACAGATTGGAATATGTATTTGGAGTTTTGCATATTCCTTCACACTAGGCTGTAGGATAGTTTGGATCCATCTGGTTAATCTACTAATAGAGCTGAGCAAGTGATAAGGAATAGGGTGTGCTACAACCATCTAAGTGCTTCTCTTGCAAGGTCAGCTATCCCCATAGCTGGGAATAATGTTCAAATATATTGCTTTCACAAAGAAATAAGCCCTGCTGAGGAATTGGGAGAACTGTGAACCTGGTCCAGTTTGATTGTATCTTGCCAGACCAGTATGGGTCTATACCAGACTATATTCCACACATATCCATAATTCACACTACACAATACTAAATGCAGTATTTGCAACATAGCAAAGCAGATGATCTGCAAGATATAGCTGCCTATTTAAATAGTGTCCTAAATATTTATCCATAAGAATTTCCATGATGCTTCAGCTGTAGAAAGAGTGGAAAAATGTGGGCAAAAAAAAAACAAAGATAAAGGCAAAGTTTGAAAATCCAGGATGGAAAACTCAAGGGTCTAGGATTACATGCCTACAATACACTCCCAGCAGTTTAGTCAGGGATGTTCAGCCTCCCCTGACAGCAGAAAAGACATTGAACAATAGGAGATATCCCTCAGAATTTAGAAGCTACAAAATATGGAGCAGACTTTGTGTGCCTTAATAGCAGGTGAAGTTGAAATTTCACCTGTGCCCAGCCAGCACCAACTTCTGCCAGCACAGGCAGAGCATGTGACATGAAATCTTATCCCCAGAGTTGTGAGCTGATAAGCAGAATAGTTTGTAAACTTCCAGCTACACCTCCTGCAAATGATTCAACTCAGGTGAATGTCTCTGCCTCCAAGGGCAGAAGTGTGGGGCAAACCTGAAGGTGGGTCTCTTTCCCCATAAGTCTCTCTCCTTTGATATTAATTCAGTTTTCACATGTGCAATAGCAGCAGCACATATTCTCAGGCTAAGCTTTTCATGCACACTTTGAATCGGCACTGTGGCCACGCTGATGCCTTAAGTTTTAGCTTTCATATTTTCTAGATTCCAAACTGCATTAGTATATAACTCTGAAATTCATATAAAGTGTTAGCAAGTTCTCCTCATGGTTTAGTTAGACAAAACAATCCTTTTCCAGCCCAAGAACCAAGGACACCATTGCAGCTCCAGGCACAAAAAGTATAAACAACAGTGAATTGAGGGGAGCAATCTGGGAGGATGGGACTTCATTACCTGGAGCTGTAATTGGACAATTAACCCAAATATGTAAATAGACCAAAACTTTCAAAAGTGTGAAAACTTGTGACCCATTGTCCATCTTGAATGTAGCCACAGCTGAGCTCTTGTACTGCCCAAGGTGTATCCTTTGAAGGCCTTTTTAATAAATGCCTACTTTATCCCTTTAACACTGTCTACCCTCTGTTCTAGGTAGCCCCTCAAGGCATCAACATAAGCCACAGGAAATGGGAGCTGCCTCAGACAGAGGCTTCTGAGGATGTCATTGTCAAAACTCAGACACAGAAGGACACTCGTGGACTTCTGTCCCAGGCAAGAAAAACTATGATCATACAGACATACATACATACATACATACATAGAAAAACTATGATCAGAAGGAACTTGCTAAGCCTGGTACAAAATGCTGATGGTTGCTCATTAGAGCAGGGAGGTCTGCTCTGGCAGTCCTCCTTGCATCTGAGAACACCTTGGTCACCAACAGAGCTCCTTGTAAGCATTGGGACACCGTTTTGAAGATGGTCAGATGCCTTTCTCAGACAGACTACTGGGACTTCACAAAGCAGGTGGGAATACTGCACCAAGAACTAAAACCTGGAGCTGCTGAATTTCCAACAACCAGCAAGACTAATATGGACATTGAAAAGGCAAAGTAAATATAAAAAGTATAATATAAAAGTAAATATAATCCAGATCTCCACACCAGAGATGTCATCCTGCTGCATTCACGAGATGATGCAGCCCACTCCAACAGAACCTGTCCCCCTCCTGGAGAATGGACTCACTTGTCTGAAGGCAGAGGAGACCATGCTCATCAAACCTGGATCAACCGCATCCCCAACTCCACCTGCTGTCAAGTCTCACCAAAACCCATATAATCACCTTTTGCAATGTCCTTGAACCTAATTGGATTGCCATTGGGCTCCTGCAGTACGTGCTGGAAGATGAGATCTGCTCCCTGTGCTGTTCTCAATCAGCAGCACACAGTGCCTCTTGCTTTGCCCTTGCAAATTCAAAGAAGGAAATTTTTTGATTTATTCAAAGGTGCCCAGGACTGTTTGAGGCTACCTGATCCCAGGGAAGAAGATGGAAGTGTTCTGTACCCTTTCCCATTTTCCTCTGTGTCTCCATGCCCATTACTGCTGCACCAAACTTAGAGCGTATTAGCTAAAAAGGAATTGCAGAGGAATTTGCAGAGGAGCTTAGAGGCTATTTTTGGTCTGAATGAGCCAAATGAGTGAGGAGCAGAGACTGGCTGCAATGGTGATGCTCACATACCTCCAGGACTGGGGTGACGATGATCCCCATGCTGGTCCTATGGCTCTAATCTGGCACTGTGAAATATCAACCTGTCCTTAGAACAAAACAAAACAGACAAATTAAGTATTGCCTCTGTCATATCCAGAGAGAGATGAAAGACTGTAATGCGTGTTATCTGTGGCTTACTGCTACAGAGAGCAGCAGCTACATGAGATTCACTCATGGTGAGCACATCACCATCACTGAAATATAGGACTGGTGCCAACATGACATATTTTTACCAGAAGTGCACAAAAGGGAATTATCTCTAAAAAAAAAATCCCTCTTCCTCTCCCAGGAGCAGTCCTAGCTCTTTTCTTCTCTCCAGGATTCCCTCTCATTCTTACACTCACAATCTTTTTACCTTTTTTTCCCCATTTGGCAAAGAAAAGATGTGAATCCTCATGGGAGGTACAGGGCAGCAGAAGGTGTACCAGAGGCTGCCAAAGGGGCAGTGGTGTGTAGTTTGCCTGTCTTTGGTGTCAGCTGGGTTTGGGATGAGTCAGACAGATAAGTTAGGTAACAAACAAGTGGGAGAGCTAATAGACCAGTTGGTAGCGTGGCAAGGGGTGCGTCCACTGCTGACTCAGAGACCTAATCAATGTCTTATCATTTCTCACGCCTTCCAGCTCCAGCATCAAACCTCCAAGGCTTCTCATCAGGGGATTAATTCCTCCTTCTCATCTTCATCAGGAGCATGCACTTGAGCCCTCTGTGTGGGAAAGAGACACATCTTCTCCATGTGGCAGAAACTCCCAGCCAATGATTACACCCGTCAGCTAATGGATGGGCACGTATCCCAGCCAGTTGTATCTAGGTACAGAATGCAGCTATATTATCCCCAGCTGCAAGCACTATCAGGAGCCCAAGGAATTATTAGATATATTTTATAATGGAATAAAGAGATTGTAAGGGAAATGGAAACTCAAAGGAAGAAGTTCAGACATCCTGAAGACAACAAGCAGAGATACTTAGGAGGATGCATATTATGCTTAAACACAAGTCCATCAGAGCAGCTGAGTCCCATGTGACAGAATAAGATCATCTCTTGGTGTCATTCTATGAGAGCTATGAAGATTCACCTGAAGATCCATTGTGAAGGCTGGAAGTCATGTTGTCAAAGGACTTGTCATGAGAAGAAAGACAAAGGATGAATGCTAGCCCAGTGCTGTGCACATGAACCTTGCCATCTGGAAGGGAGCCATACTGCATACAAGACTCTCCAGCACCAGGCTCAAGTAGGGCCCTCTTTGGCTCCCTGGTGGCACACATGGGCACCTCCTAAGGCTCTTTGTCTTGTCCTTGTCTTTTTCCTCACTTGCTCTCTATGGCCTTTCACTCTGGGCAGGGTTATGATGGTTGCTGATTGCTGGTGATCATTTCAGACAGACTTGTTAGCTCCCTCAATGTTTCTGACTCTGCGCCATCCTGGACACGGCTATAAATGATGTTCCTTCTTCATGTTTTGCCCCAGCTTTTGTTCTATTTTGTCTCCCTCTCCCTCAGTCTCCAAAGTGTTGGCGTATGTCTTTCATCTACCTGGCGTGGGCTCCATGAGTATGCAATGGGCACAGAAGGTAATTAGTGACTGATGCAACACGGTTTTAAATTTAACCTCATGGTGCAGCCGTTCTTTGAATGTAAATATGGCATGTTCTTTTGGGTGAACGTGTGGGGTCCTTTGAGAGCACTTCAGAGTAAACCAACCTGCTGCTCAGGACAGGTGTGACCTCTGCAAAAAACCCCTGGAATACTTAGAAAAATGACTGTGTTCTACTTTCATTATGAATCTTTAGAAAGGGATCTATAGGAAAATTTGGAGGTCAAGCTTTTAGATGGTATCCATTTCTGACCTCCCTCTGGCCCTATTTACTAAAAGAAATTGAGTCCAAACAAAGGGAGTAAAATCAAGAAAAAGATGCTTCTAAAGTAATGTTATGAACAATAAATAAAATAAGAAAACAAATCAATAAAATAAGCACATCAAGATGATCTCAATAATCTCAAGACAAACCAGTTAATCCTTATAAGCATTAAGAGAGGCTCTTCAGGAAGCAGCTGTCCCTTTGGTTACAAACACACTGAGTCAATTTAGCATAGAAACTGGAGCTGTTTAAATAGTTTACTTTTGAGACATTACTATCTAATGTTCACATCACAGAGCCAGTTATAAAGCTCCCGTCTTAGATTTCCGTTCTCACATAGTAGGTAACCCTTTCCTCCCCTCTGCCGGCAGATTCCAACAGATGACTCACATTTCAACAGAACAACTCTAATAAACCAAATTTTGACATGTCTTATTAGCTAGAAACTCTCTGGGACAATGGCAAGGGCTCGTTTAGCACAAAATAATTTTTCCTTATGAGCCAACATTTAAATCTAAAATATTTTCTTCAGAGTACAGATTTTAGGGACGGGCACATGCGTGCACACAGCAATGCTTTCATGGCAGAGAGTGAAGTCTAAGAAAGTCCAGACATTTCCTGCACATCAAACACAAACAGCAAACATTGATAAAGAAGCCACTTCCCAGAGGACTGGGCCTGGAGCTGCAGTTGTGGACGCAGCAGATGTCCTCTTGGCTCAATGCTTCTCCTGCATAGATCTTGTTTGGGTGCTGGCTGGGAAGCAGAAGTCAGGGATAACATAATCAGCAGAGTTTTGACAATGTCTCTTTAAAACAGTTTTACTTGGAGGCACTGGAGAGCCAGTCTTCTCTCAAGAGGCTCATTGACCTTAAAGGTGAGATATCCCAGACTGGTTCTTAGGGTTTGTGAACTTTGCTTATTTGGCCCGGTGACATCTCCCTCCTCAGGCTGTGAGCAAATCTACTGCAAGGACTGATTTGGACCTACACCAGATTTGAATTTAGCAAGTGGCAGGTTTGGGAAAAGTCCCATTTGCATCCACAGAATAAAAAGTATTTGGTGCCTTATAGAGCAGATACTGTACATCTGCAAATGTTTCCCTAAGCCTTCGTTTCCCTCCCTCTCCCCTCTTTTGTAAGTAAAAAAAGTTAACATGCAAGATGTTTCCTGAAGATTTTGGCATAGTCTTATCTGGATAAAAGGTCTCATGATGACTCTGTTGCCAACTTATAGAAATTTCAACACAAAACTATTCTATAAAAATAGCTGCTTGCCAGGGTTTGTTTGTTTTCTTCCGAACCACTGCTTGACATTCCCTCTTCTGCAAACTCAGAAATAAATGTGTACAATTTATTACTTCTGTCATCATTCTTCTCCTAAAGAAGGCAACTTACAGTCAGCGTTCTATTTTGGAAATAAGCTAGAAGTCAAGCAGTTTGTCTCTCGTACACTTTTAGCATAGCAAAACTTGCTAGTTATTTCTTTGCTGACTTAGCCTCTGAGCAGTGCTGGGCATGCTGCCTGAAGCTTCCACAGCTGATTCCAAAGCCTCCTTTACCCCACCAAGAACAGTGCTTGCAGTAGCCCTTTGCAGAAGGAGGGACCTTGGAGTTTCCAAGGGACTGGGATCTTACTACCATCCCCTGAGGAGACTGCCCTGGCTGAAGGGTGAGGGACAGGGAGCAGGGGCTGAGCC